TTAAAAATGTAAAATACAGAACCTATCTTGAGTGGCATCATTTAAAAATACAAATGAAATAAACTTACATGTATAAAATATAAGTAGTCATATTAGAAGTTTATTTTCAGAAATGGAAGCACAAGCTAGAATCAAAACCACGATAGCAATTAAAACTCGTTGGAAGTAAGGATCATACAAATAAAATGAAATAAAATAGAAGAAAAGGTTTTTTAAAGAAGATATTTTAAGGTAACTAAAGTTTCAGGAAATAGGTTGGAGAATCCATGTGGAAGCTTCTTCCCCCTCCCCCCAACAAAAATTTGTAAAAAAATAAAATAAAATTTTATATATAGGAGTACTGGAAACCTATGTCATAATTTTAAAATGTACTTCCTAAGTATGAAGTTATAAACGGAAGATTTTTCAAGCTGTAGCCAAAAACTAAGATGGGAAAGGATTTTTTTTTAAGTCTTAAAGACTTACAGAGACTACCTACCCCCTCATACATGAAAACATTCAAACAAACTGTGCTGTTAGATACATGAGCAGGAGGTTGCATGCGTTGGACCACACCTAGAGAAGATGGTCCAATCCTGAATTCACCTGGCCCTCAGAGGCAGAAGTGTTTCTGGCCATGCATTCCATATGATGTTGCTCCCAACTGCTCGGTTATATGGTTGTAGTGCACAAGCAGCCATAGACAATCTGTTAACAAACAGACATGGATGTGTTCCAATAAAGCTTTATTTATAAAAGCTAGAGTGTTAGATTTGGACCTGACTACCTTTCAAAAAATAAACATTGACAAATGTTAGTAGGGCTGAATTGGGATTGTTAGTGTGTTTAGAAGCCTGGAAACCCTATCAACCCATGGGATGATTTAAAAGATGTTAACATTGAATCTAGAAAAAAAGATAAATCCTATAACTAGTAAAGTTTGTCTCATGGCACTCAAATACAAGATTCCACTCATTTTCATTTAATAGAATTATGTTTTGATTTTCAGTCACCAGGGATTACACCAGAAATCTCTTTATAGTTTTATATTATATGCTCCTTGGACACCAGGGAGAACCAAGAGTTCCTAGAGTCCAGGATGTTGTGCAAAGGCTCTGGCCTTGAGGCCGCCATGTTCTCAGTGGAGTGGAAACTGTTACCTAAGATGCCCAGGTCAGATCAAAGGCAGGTGACCGACCTGGTCTGTGATCAGTTCTCACTCATCAGCCAGGCTTGGTACTCGATCCTGTGCCTGGGTTCCCAACCCTTTGTTGCTCGTGGTTTTTATCTGTTGGGCTCGAAGCAGGGTTAGGAGAATCTTCCACTGCTATTTCCAGAATCAGAAAATATCCAGCTGCCTCTTCATGGGGCCCAGGTGCAAACTCCCCATGCTTCCTCTAGAAGCAGTGTGCAGTGTGCAGGTTGGGTGATGGGAAAAATCTCCTCACAATGCTAGACAAAGTTATTCAGCTCTCTCTGCATTTCTGAAGACCCTACTCAGGCCCTTTTTGGCATCTTGAAGCATAATTTAAGATCCATGTGGAGAAAAGAGACATCTATGTATGAAAAAATAACAAGTGAACAAAGTAGGTGATAAAATTTAAGGTGACTCATGGGAAAGTCAGAAAACGGTACATGAGGGAGAAAGGACAGATCATTGGCAGGTGGAGTAGACAAGAAGTATCACATTTTTAGTTTGAAGTATTTATTTCCATTCAGAGTCTTTTACCGGAGCTGTGCCCAAATTCATCCGGATACACACACATGCATATAAGTGTGTCACATTCATCTCAAAGTCGATGTAAGATTTAAAATGGAATTCATTAACTCCAGCCTATCTCCATGTTAGGGGGATTTCATTCCAGTATCCTCACACCACCAGTCAATCTAGAACCTTCAGTAACATCTGCGTTTTCCTGCCACATCCATTCAGGGATTGTGAGTCATCAATCATGTCTTCCTCTCGTCTCTAACACCACACCATTCATATGACCTTTGCCTTGTCCGGGACCCTAGTCATATCCCATAAGGATAACAGAACGGACCTTTATCTTGCCTCCCTGCTTTCACATCCTTTCTCTGTTCCCCACAGCATGCCATCCTGCCCATCTGAGCTTTCTAAAATACAAATCTGATGTCTTTCCTGCCTCAATATTAAAGGTGTCCTTCCATTGCTTTTAAATTAACAGTTGGACTTCTTTGAAATAGAAGGTAATATCATGACACCTACAAATCATTTCTTGTTCATTACTGTTTTTATTTCTTACTATTTCTTACCTCTTAGCTATTCCTCTTTTAATATTATATTTGTTAGCTTTTGTTTATGCATACACACAGGGGGTCTTATCTTTGTGACAGGAAATGGATTTTGCATCTGGTACGGTGCCACATCAAGTTCTCTAGACTGTTCCTACTGGCCTGTAGAATGATACCATGTTCTTCAACACACCTCTTCCAGATGTCAGCCTGAAGGGGCCTTGTTGCTTGATCTCATAAAGCCTGATCAAGTCCTCAAAAGTGAAACCTCAGAGGAGCCTTGCTTTCTATTCATCCCCTGGAGGCTGAAACACTAGCTTGCCCTGAGTTCTCTAGAAACTTCCATTTACCCTATTGGGTACAAGGTCTTCATTCTGCTAGCTGTTTCTCTAAAAGTTATTATTCCTTAACAATAGGAACAATGCCTTTCATCTTGATAGCCTTAAAAACCTGGGAAATGATAAAGGACCAATAGATTTTTATTTTGATGAAAATGAAAGAGATGAACAGAGAAAGGTATATGGAATGGAAGAAAGCTTTAGCAAAGGCGTACACTAGGAAACAGACCTATCATCTGGTGTGTGTGAGGTCCTGGGTTCCATCCTCAGCACCTCCCCTTTCTCCTAGCCCCCCAAAAAACTGATCTCAAAAATCTCCACTAACCCCACAAATGTCCATGTGTTTGAGTCATGTGGCCAGTCCTCTGTGCTATCTATCGACTTCCGTGGTGATTCATCGCTTCATCTGCCTTGATGTGCTGTCTTCACTTGGCTTCCAGGACTGTGTACTCTCAGGATTTTTTCTGTGACTAGTTTCTCGGCAGGCTTCCTGTTGATTCATTTCCATTCCTCACAAGCCTGTGGTCTTCCGATCTTCACTCATCACCCTGGTATTCTTACATCTGCAAGATTTTACTCACCATTCCTGCACTACCAAGATCAAAATATCTCTTTTCTGGATGTCTTTCCTGAACGCTAGACTTGCTGGACAGCCCTGGTTGACCCTACAGTAGAAATGTTTCACTCATCATTTGTAAGACTGATCATGCAGTCTACATAAAGCCCTGGTTGGCCTGATCTTTTCCATCAAGGACCTGTGGCTCCATCCTCTCCATGGTTTTCTGGATGCCACTTGGTCTCACGCCTCCCAGTCGGTCCATCCCCAAAGCATTTGGCTCTCACCTTGACTAATCTGGGCCATCTGAGGACCTGGCTCTCACCTTAACCTACCTGGGTCCTCTGAGGACCTAACCACTTCTGGCAATCTCACCACCCTGGCCGGATCCACCACCCGGTCAAATGGCTTAGTGCCTTTGAGTGACCTCCATGTAACTCAGGATCAAAGCCTCAGTCTCACACTGAGCTGTTATCGCCTCCCTTACCCAACTCCCCACCAAGTCTCCTCCCCACTCTCCCTGTCCCTCTCTCTTCTTCAACCACACTGGCCTCCTAGGACACCCAGGAGTCAAGAAAGCAACATGTCCCTGCTCTCCAGATTCATCTCAGCATGCTCTGTCCTTGAAGCTGTGCCTCAAACTCCATCCTCTTCCTAAGGTTACCTCCAATCATCCTGTTAAAAATAAAATTCCTATATGAATTCTGTCTACTCAGCTACATAAATTTTCTCCATAACACAATCTTCTAATACATTATTTTATTTTGCTTAATTATCTTGCTTACTTCCTTCTCCCACTGGATGTAAAGTCGTGTGGGGCAAAAATTTCTATGTGTTATTTCACTGCTATCCCCTAAATAAGCATATAACCTCCCAGTGATAGCTACTGAATGAAGAAGAAGTACACACATTTTTTTTTTTGCATTTCTGAGTGTCTGAAAGTATCAGAATTGCAGTGTTATTTTATTTCATGTTCATAAAAATTCTATCATTTCTCTCCTGATGTGGTGGCATGCCCCAGTACTCAAGAGGCTGAGACAAGAGGATTGCCATGAGCTCAAGGCCAGCCTGGGCTATGTAGCAAAACCCTGTCTTAACAAAACAAACAAAAATGCTGTAATTTCTACATTGATTTTAAAGGTGAAGAGACTAAAATTTCTAAGACTTTAGTCTGTGATGCTTCAAGACTTTCTGTAAACCTGAGATTTAAGGGCAGCATTCTGGGTGGCAGGGAGGTGAAATCTTTCAGGAAACACTACCTTTTATTACATTGTATGTTTGCTTACTAGAGGTTTGAAAAATGCTGACAGCATTAGCAGTATGCCAGGGTGCCTCTAACCTTAACACAACTCCTTCTTGGGGTTTTCCGATTATTCATTCACAATTCTTGCCCCATTAAGCCAGTATGCTTGGGAAACAAAGCAATACAACTTGGCTATAGCCAAAATTCAGTTAGGAAAGTAGAAAATAACAGAACTAACGATGAAATTGTGCCACGCTGTAGAGTTTTAGACTGCTTGGTTAACAATTGAGTTCCTCCGTTGGTTTCCAACACTGTGTTGATTCTTAAAAACCTTTCCCAACCATATGCCTCCTACTGGCAGAGATGATTAACAAGATTCCCAGGGTTTTGTTAAGCAGCCAGCCCCCTATTCCAGCCACATAACAGGATGTGGTGTGCTGTATAGACTATGGTAAGCTGCTGAAGGTTTGCAGACTGCATTCAGTATATTTGCAATTTATGTCTTGTGGAAGAACATTCGCTATGTCTTGTGCAATCAGGTAAATCTGACAGAGCGGTTAGTGGGATGTCTTTCAGAGTAATGTGCTTTGCCCTGCCTCACAAGAGTATTTTTCTCCATCTGTTGTAGGTCAATGCACAAACTGGCCCAGTTGGAAAGACTTGACCTAGGCAATAATGAATTCAGTGAGCTGGTAAGCACATACATTTTCTAAGCTTGCTAAGTACACTCCGGAAGATGATTTCTTTTGCTTTCATTTTGCAACTCCAGGTATTGAACCATCAAGTGCACATTTGCATTTGCTAAACATAAAAAATTTAAACCTGGGCCAAAAATTTAAATTGGCCATAGAGAACTGGATGTTAGGCTTCATTTCAGCAAATACTGGGGTGGAAGTGGATACCTAGTGTCAGTTTTAAACAACAACTTGATGTTAAACACCATTTAAACGTGTTCCCTATGTTCTGTCATTGAATCCTGGCTTGTTACGTCACCATTTTAACTTCATAGAAAGGACCTTGAAGTGACTACTGACATATGTAGCTACTATGTGCCTGAACAGAATTTAGGCTTACACTTGACTACCTCCAAAAGTCCATGGCTTGATGACTTCTTCCCAGGAGGCTTCCTGGTAGCATGAGAAAAGTGTCACCAATGACACTGTATTTATAATGGTCCTGAAAGTGTCTTTCTAATAAAATACATTGCTACATAGTTCCAGCAAGAGTGGAATTCTACCTGCCCTTTTGAGGTTCCATTTTATCAAAATATGATGACCAAAGACTGAATCTCAAGAGCACATAGAAAATGAATGTTTCTCCATAATAAATGCCAGAAGCTTCCCCCTTGGATGCCTTGAAACTTTAAAACTCCAATTCATCAGAAGTCTAATTTAACTGCTTTTAAGTTAAAACACTTAAGGATTAATCAGCTTTTCTCCTCCAGCTCTGTCTCTTGCTGTGTGATTTTATGCATGTGGTTTAATCTCTCTGACCCTCATTTTCCTGATCTATAGAATGAGGTTGTAGTGATTCTGCCTTATAGGTTTGCATGACAAATAACACACACACTCCACACAACCTGGCAGAGAAGCAGTTCTTATGTGGTAACATCAGTCTCCGTGGGTCCCAGGGCTTCCCTCACACTCTGTTATCAACAGAGAAAGACAATTAACTTACTTTACTTTGTAGCCAGTCTGGTCTTTCTCCCAGCCTTCACGAACTGTTCAATAAGGGTAAAAACTGACATTTATTCCTCTAAAATGAGAAGTTTAATCTGATGTGAAGAGTCGGATGGTCCCTTGGGTTGCGTTCATCTTCCTTGCATAAAAATTCCCAGTCTCTGCCATACCTTTTCCCTTTTCTCTCTCTAAGACACAATTTTCAGCTGGCACAGGAGGGGACACATTTTTATGACCTTAGCTAAAAGGACTCCCTGCCCAGCCTGCAGGGGTTTTGGATGCGCGCTGGCAGCACACACCTGCCCCTGCACTGCTGTCTACACTGCCTCCTGTGTATAGTGTCAGCCTGAACCTGTGGCCAGCTCTTTCAGCTTGGACAAGCAGGAGACAAACAGGGGACAAGCAGGGCCACCTCTCTCCTGCACACATTACCAAGTTCATCTCTCACTGGCAGTCCAAGCAGGGGCTCCGTCCTGTCCTGGCATCAGCATCAGAGTGGCCCTCACTCCCCAGTTTCTGTACCTCACCAGGCATAGCTCCACTAGTGACCCCATCTCCGTCTTCTGGCAGTGCGAGTCTATGCAATGTGTAGAGGTCAGGAAGGCCGGCTTCAGCGCTTCCCTGCCTGCCATGCTGTGCTGCCGGGTTTACTCTCAATGCAGCCTGTGTCTTTCCAGAGCAGCTTGCAAGGCGATCTGCACCCAACCTGGGTCAAGGGAACCACGTACATAGTCTAGGCCACTGCTGGTGTGTGAGAAGGAGGTATTGATTATAGGCAAAGAGCTGGGAGAGGACAGGAAATAGCAGGTAGTGGTGGAAGTGGTCATTCCTTCTGATAAGTCCCAGATGAGTTGTTAAGGATCTAGGCCCTGCCCACGTTCTCATGAAGACACGTAGCTTGGCTGAGGAGTGGAAAGAACGGGAGTGGTGGAAGCAAGCTGGTTTATCTCGCACTTCAGGCACTGAACAACTGGACAGTGTTAGAAGCCCAGCTTCATCGTCAACAAAGTAAGGGTGTGAAGCCCATCTGTTTCCTAGCTTTCTGGGAAATTTCATACATTCATACATTGAATGTAAGTTTCAGCGACTTTCAATTCTGCCAGATATTGGGTACGCATTTTATATGGGCATTTCTGAATTAATGTTTTACTACAAGGGTGTGGATCAACAAAGCTTAGCAGGATACTTTTATTTTCTGAAAATACATTTATTGAAACTAAATATAAAATTGTAACGTATAATCTGTAGTATCTAAGTAATCATCATCAGAACAGAGATAGTTTTTTAATATAACAATATTTTATGTCGATCACAAAATACAGTTTTTTGCTGCCATTTTTTTTTTTTTTTTTTTTTTTTTGCTTTTGCCATAGAATGCTCAGTTACTACAGGGGTATAATTATGGATTTCTGCATTTCTGATGTTATTCGTTCTTAATCAGATTACCTGAATGTTGTTAGTTGTGCGTGTGGAACTGGGGGTTGTTTGCCATCAAGAAATTTTAATGAGAAAACAGGTGAATTTTCCCTGATAGAAATCCAGGAGACACCTTGTGGAGAAGGGACCACACTGTGTTCCATAGCTCAATAGTGATACCTTTAAGGGTGTCATCAGATGGTTCCTTTAGTGTGACATGGGTATAGACACAAAGTAGAAAGTAGGTGACTCTAAAACCCTAGTGAGTGAGGATAGAAACTGCATGAGGAATAATGTAAATATCCAAAATTAACATGAAGTAGAAATATCTACTTATGGCTATCTTTCTGAGAAAGAAACTTCTGCTAAAGTGAATTGGCATGTTTCTAATAGCAATGACCAGTAAAAGATATTGGGCAGAGTTCTAGAGATGGATTCTTAAAGATTTCTTAAATGGTTTTTATGTATTATTTTTCTCAATAAAAGATTCATAAATAACCATTTAAGAAAATTTAGAAAGTTAAAAAAAAGTGTAAAAGTGATAAAATTCATCTATGATCTCTCCAACCACCATATAATATTCTTAATAGTTCTTGGTCTACCTTCCCTCCATCATTTTGTTGTTTTTGTTTTTCTTTTTGTTTTTGAGGTCAAGCCAATATTATCTGAGGTCAGGTAAGAAGCAGGGGACTGTTAAGTTGCTGTGTAGAGCTGGATGACGTCAACCTTAAAGATCTTCTCTGAACCCCGGGTCCACAGTCTTCTGAGTGTCACAGCATCATTGGGAACTTCCCCACTGTGGTCAGGGACACTGAAACAGGTTCATTGTCATAGGTTCAAAGCCCTGTGGTATAACTTTCAAGTAGATCTGGCCAGTGAATTTCAAGTAGATCTTTCAAGTAGATCTGTCCAACTCATGGTTGGTCCCTAGCTGCTCCAAGAACTAACAAGCAAAGTATGGGAAGAAATAGGCAGAAAAATGGAGCAAACTGACAGAGAGCTCGGAGGACAAAGGGATGGATGCATACAAAGATAGAGTGAAGCCCAGCCTCCCCCTCATCCAGCTCAAGCTCCCAGCTCCCCCAGAGGTTCCCTGGTCTCTTCCCCAGTCCTGCCCCTCACAACAGAAGTCCCAAGCAGACCAGCTGTGGTGAAAGATCCTAGGGAGACCCCTACTTCCTAGCCCTGTGCTATGCAAGCAGGAACAAAGTAAGATTTGAAATTTACATTAGAAAAGTAAGATTTGAAATTTCACTGTAAACATGGCAGGACGCATATTTATTATGGATGTCTACATAAGTAGATCTGCCTGCAAAATTGAAATTAGGATATGCATTCTGTTTTGCACCAACGCATCACTATTGAATTCAAATAGATTCCTTACAGGCATTATAATTGATAAGCTTTCTTTCTTTGTTAGATGCATTAAGAAGACTGTCAAGTGATAACTATAAAATAGTGGTTTCAATGCTGAACTTAAGAAGTTTGATATTTCATCATATCAAATTTGATACCTGTAAAGTAACAGAAGTAACAGGCTTGAGTTACAAAGCATAACGAAATGCGCCCCTTGAGGCCACCGCCTTAGTCATACAAACTCACACACTACTGGCTACTTTTACACTCTCTTCCCAAACGTCTTTCTGTCCTGTGCCCCAAGACAGCTGGAGTCCTGAGTATCTACAGTCTCTCTCCTTATCTTCAGTGGTAACCACAGCTCTGAATTTTTTTTAACAGTCCCTTGCTATATTTTCTTCTGGATGTATTTCTAAATGTGGTATTACTGTGCCTTGCTGTTTCTCAAGTATCTATAAATCTACCTCTACCCTGCTTATAGATGCCTGTTCTTGTCCTCATGACAGTCTCTTTGGATTATCTACACTTGTATATTTGGTATTATACTGTTGCTATGAACATTCCTATATGTCTACACATGAAAGATTTGATCTAAGTCATATATTTAGAAGTGGGATTTCTTGGTCATAAGTTTTGCATGTATTCATCTATAAAACTAATGCATTTCTTTTTCAGAAGAGTCATAGTAATTCACCAGTAATGTGAGATTTTCATGATTCACACCTTTACCAGCACTTGACAGGCAGAGTTTATTTTTACCTGTATAATCCCTGCAAAATGACGTTTCATTATTATCTGCATTTGTGTGTCCCAGATTTCTAATGAGATTGACCATTTTCCCATGCTTGTGGGAGTTTTTATTGCCTCTTCTGTGAAATGCCTGTTGACATATTTTTGCTATCTTTTCTACATTTTTATATGTTTTTTTCTATTGGCTGTCTTTATCTTGTACAGATATAGATATTGGCACTCTGGTGAAACGGCATATATTTTGTCTATATTCAAGATACTAATCCCCCAAAAAAAAAAAAAAAAAAGATACTAATCCTGTGTTGGTTATGGGTACTGTCTCTTCCTGAATTCCCTACAGAGTCTTTATATTTTCTACATGCTATCTTTTTGTGGAGAGAATTTCTTAATTATAGCATAATAAAATGTATAATTTTATATCTAGTATTTTTTGTCCTGCTTAGGAAGTCTTGCAAATGTCAAAAAAAGATTTTTCCTTATGATTTTTTCGA